GTCATGTGATGTGAGCATCCACTATCCAGTATCCATTCACTGTCTTCCATGCTCACTTGGAAGCAGACCTGGACATGAAAACATGTTTATTTTATTTTTGGTACCCATATTAATCTGGATACCCCTCCTCTAATCCTTATATTAGCACAGTTATAACTTAAATGTCCCTTATCATGACATGAGAAGCAAGTTATTTCTTTCATCCTAGTTTCCTTGGCTATTCGTTTTTTACAGTGAGCAATGTAGTGTCCCAAATCATGACAGTAGAAGCATTCATTAGTTGATTTCTTATTGTGAGATTCACTTACTTTGGCTTTGATCCAGTTCTGTTGTTTAACAGGATACTGATTTCCTATAGATTTCTTTAACTTTATGATTTCAGCCTCTAGTTCTACATTTCTATCAGTAGTTTCTTTTAATAATTCATCAATTCTGAGTTTCTCCTCTTTTAGCTTATTATATTTCTCAGAAATTTCTCTAAGTTCAGTTTTAAGCTTCAAATGTTTAAGCTTAACACTAGCAAATTCAGATTGAATATCTCTTATGGTTTCTACCATTTGATCATCTTCATTGTAGGAATATGAATAGTAGTGAATATTGTGTACCTGAGACGGATCAGAGTCATCTTCGCTTTCCCCAATTGCCATGTAGGCTTCGTATTTCCCGTTTGACTCCAGTTCATCATCCTCATCCTCACTGCAGCTCCAGGTAGCTACATAGGCCTTCTCGCGTTTCAGTTGTGGGCACTCAGCCTTGATATGCCCACTCCTTCCACACTTAAAACATCCACCTTGCATTCCACCCCTGTCATTGGTGTTGATTTCCTTTCTGAATCTCGAGTTTGCTTTGAAGGGCTTCAATTGCTCCTTTTCTGATTCCCCTTCCTTTGATCTGTTGACAAATGCTCCTTTTCTTCTTTCTTTCCTTATACGCAGCATTTTTGCAACGTGTTTGCTCAGCATCGCCAACTCTTCATCCTCCATATCTTCTAAGCTGTCAAACTCATCTTCTGGAGCAGTAACCTTGAATGCTATACTTCTTTTCTCCCTTCTGGGTTCATCATTTTCTTCTCTTTTCAACTTGTCTTCATGTGTGATAAGTGACCCCATGAGCTCGTCCAAACTCAGTCGAGTTAAATCCTTGGATTCTTCTATTGCTGTGACTTTGGGCGTCCACTTCTTAGGAAGAGCCCAAAGAATCTTTCGTACCAGATCTGCACTTGTATACTCGACTTCGAGATTCTTTAAGCTGTTGACTATAGTTGTGAATCTATCGTGCATTTCTTTGATAGATTCTTCAGGCTTCATCACAAACGACTCGAATTCTTGCTTGAGTCGATTGATTCTGGAGATCTTCACATGCGAAGTACCCTCATGTGCAACCTGTAACTTATCCCAAATCTCCTTGGCATTCTTGCATCCTGAGACTCGACGATATTCCTCAGGACCCAGCGCGCAATACATCAGATTAGTAGCCTTCGAATTGAGCTGGAAGTTCCTCTTGTCTTCTTCGGACCATTTACCTCTTGCCCCTTTGACTTCAAGTGGCCCATCCATCACGATATTCCAAAGATCTGGATCAGTGGAGCCGATGAAGAGCTCCATCATGTTCTTCCATTATCCGTAGTTGACACCTTCGAATCTGGGGAGGTCGCGTCTGAGAAAATCCATCGGCGAGATATACATTGCTGCTGTTCGACGAGCCCGACGCCATTCTCGACTTCACCGGAGGTTGCTAAGCCTTGTTCTACGGTGACCAGCTCTGATACCACGTGTTGAATCAGTCGAGCGCGAGACCTTTCCTGCTTTTCGAGTGTTTCTCGAAGAAACAAAGAAGAACCCTAATTAGATTGTGAAATTGAGATCGAGTGATTTGGAAAACAATGTAAATCGATCGAGAGAAGTGTATTGAGCGCGGGTGAGTGGACGAGTAGGTTGAGAACTGTTTGGGCTTAAGCCCAATTCTTTTATTCCGATCAACACCAAAATGCGGCCCAGCTCCTTAACTGTCTTTTCCTCTTGAAACGCCAACGTTTTGTTCTCCTTCCCTGTTTTCGTCTGGATCAGAAATCCTTCCCTGCAAAAGAACAGAGTGCTTGTGCCAAAACAGAGACTCAGCTGCACCAGAGTTAGAAGAATAAAAGTTCAGGCCAAGACACCAGGATTTTTACGTGGTTTCCGATACTGATAAATCAGTATCGACTAGTCCACGGCCAAAGGCACTCGGATTGAGCCCTTTGACGATTTACTATGGATGTTGTTGTTCAGCTTACAGAGTACATAAACGATTCCCTTGTGACTCCCTGTCACACACAATCAGACTCCCCCTGGAACCCTGACTCCCCGTCACCTGTTCCACCTCAAGAGTACTGATCACTTAGAGCTCTCTCCCTGACAGCTCTAACTCTCTTTTGTTCTCTTTCAAACCCAGACCTTTTCTCTTTCTCTGTTTGAAAATCACCCGAACAAAAGTGCTCTCACAATTCCCCCTTTTCCCTTTTTAAGTATCCCCAGTCTATGACCGTTAGGTTCCAATTGCTCAATCACTGTGATCGTGATTTGATCTTGATTCACATTCGACTTTCCCAATTTGGTTTGACAGAATTTAGGCTTTCCTTCTTTGGCTCCTTTGATGATTCAATCCTTTTGAGTCGTTGAACAAGCTTTTGCCAGCACCTTCCTCTCTCCAACTCGAGATCTGGAGACGAAGACCCTGCTCTTGGTAACTTTAGCTGCGAGGAATCTTATCGTCGCCGTGAATCCTGAAACAGTAGCGGCGAGAAAGTCCACCAAAGGCGAATTAGAGGAGGTTGGTTTTGGTGGGAAATTATAGAAATTAAGTTTTTTTTTTAGTTTTTAGTATTGATGAAAATGAGGTGGAAAATTTAAATAATTAAATTTTATTTTTTATTAATTTTTAATTGTCACGTCACACATTTAACGGTCAACTATGAAAGTTGACTGCCACATTAGAAAAAGTTAAGGGAGTTGGACGAAGAGTGACCAAACTTTAACTGTTGAACTAATTTCAGTAACCACGAATGGAATTAAATATTTGCAGCAACCAAACATGAACCTTTTTAGTAAACCTATTAACCAAACTTGCAATTTACCCGTTAAAACCATAAAGGATAAAAGGATACTCCCACCTAGGGGTGGGAAACGGTTTGGTCCGGTTAAAACCGGACCGGATTAACCCGGTTTTTTGAAATCGTATTGAGCAAAGCTACAACCGAAAATTGGATTGGATGGAGACCCGGTTTCAACCGTGACCGGACTGGGTTGGATCCGGTCCGATCCGATTTCAACCAAAAAACTGGGTATTTCTCTTCCACCAAACGCCACCGTTTTAATTCTTCTTCTCTCCCAAAACCAAAAGACACAAACGTCGCAACCCACAAATTTCCAAATCTCTCTCTCCCTCTTTGTCTCTGTTTCTTTTCCTCTCACATTGTAAGTGTCGCCAATAGAGATTAGAGAGTTCTCTCCCACCGACGCAACCATCACCACCATTCCCGCGTCTTCCTCGTTGTCGCAGTCACCATCGTCGCCATCCCCAAATCATCGTCGTCGTCGCCATCCCCTTTCACTTGTTCTTGCTTTGTTGTTGTTTTTGCATGTTTCGATCTGGGCAAGATCGAGATGGAGGGTGCAGATCAAAGGTGATCTCAAATCGGTTGGTGAGACTGAGAAGAGAGAGAGACCAGATTGGGTGCGATCTCACATCATCGTCTCCATCGTTGTCGACGTAGCCGTAACCGTCGCCTAGAGCAGAGACCAGACCTCGGCGGCTCGGCCAGAAGGGGGGATCCTGGTGTCGTCACGAAAGAAAGGGCGAGTCGGCGCGGCGGCTGCTTCGACGGTTGTGCGGCGATCGGCTGCTCTGTTTCTTCCTCTAGAGCAGAGAGCAAAGAGAGAGTCAGAGAGATTGGCAATGCGGCGGGGAGGTGGAGACTGTACGATGGAGATGGCCACATTAGGGTTTTACGGGTTGGGTATCTGGGCTTCTGGGTTGAGGCTTGAGAGGGGCTGGGCTGGGCTTCATTAAAGGGCTGTGCTGTGAAGGGCCCGATTTTCCGGTTATTTCCGGTTTTAACCAGATGAAAACTGGTACGGTTTTTCCTCATATATAGGCAACCGGAATCCGGATCAGACCGATTTCCGGTTTCACCGGGAAACTGGAACCGGATTCCCAGCCCTACTCCCACCATACTTCATAAGGGTTATAGGTATAATATGCCCCTATACTATGTCGTTTTATCAAACATGCCCTTTTATGATTTTTTACATCTAACATGCCCCTGTACTTTGGAAAAATTATCAAACATGCCTTTCTATTAAAATTTCTATTGAAAAAATTGCCAATCATGGTTGAATCGAGATTTAGACGGCCCAACATCGCAAAACAAGAGGAAAAATGTCAGTTTTGACCCCTGTTTTATTTCTCTGGGTCTTGTCAAAGTGAAATTATTAGAATTATTTGAATATACAAAAGAGCCAAAAAAATTCTATAATGAAATTAGTAGGGATATTTTAGAGATTTATGTCGTAGAGACCAAAGTTCGACCGTGGTTAACGATTTTTGGATCTAAATTTTCGGCCCATTTAGAGTAGGCTTATGTGATCGTTCTGATAATGGGCCATTCTGTTAGCCATAATGCCAAAATTGAAATCCCGATCTGCTAGAAATTCAGGCGGCTCTTTCTACAAGCCTAACTTTTCTATCGGCCCCCAAAACTCTTGCTCGAAAACCTGCTTCGCCCTCTTTCTCCTAAAGGCTAAAACCCTCGTTCCCTTTCCTTCCTTCATCTCCTTCGCAGCTCTACTCTAGTCGCCGGCGATTCGACCATGAGCAGATCCGGCCAGCCTCCAGATCTCAAGAAGTAAGTCGCCTTTTTCCTTTCCCCTATCTTCTGCTCTGTATCTTCTTCCTCGGATTGCTGAAATTTTTGTTTTCTGTTGGGTATTTCAGGTATATGGACAAGAAGCTCCAGAGTAAGTGTTTCTACAAATCCCTTTGGTTTTGATTTTTCCTTCGCGTTTGTCCTTTTGGGATGACGCTCTTCTGTCGGGCTTCTCTTGTTTACCGAAAAGCAGCCGTCTTTCTGCGTCTCTAGTTTAGACGGGTACAGTGTGCTATATTCAATAGCTATTAGATTATTTTCGTCTGAACGACGGTATTAGCTTTGGCGAGAGGATAGGGGCAGTAGTCGCTGCCTGATAGAGGCAGAAGCAGGGCGACCGGAGCTATCTAGTCTGAGTGTGTGGATTGATATAGTCATGAGTTCCCCATGACCTGAATAAAGTTAGTGATATGATATGAGGTTGTTGCTTGGTCAAGTCAAGCAGATTGATACCCTATTGCAATGGCTTTTGATGCCTGACAGAAAGCTTTTGCTGCTAAACTAAATCTCCTGGTCAGGTTTTGTGTTTCTTCGTTCGACACATTGGTCACAATCTACATGCATATGTCTGTACATGTGTTTGCTACTGATATATTGCTGTATATTGGTGTTTATATGTTTAGATAAATGTGCGTGGGAGGTTTGAGTGTGCTGGACTTATGGGATTCGTCTAGCATATGAAACTGTCGTTGGTAAAGAGCCCTTTAGTTGAATGGAGCCTGCCCTTAATGCAAATTGGACAAATTCTGATGCGCAGTTTGTTTGAAACTGTAGTAGTGTTGGATCTATTACCTGAAGTTCTAGATGAACCATCATAGTTTAGAGCATCTGTATAGTTTTTTTGGCTGTTTGTTTGAAGTTGCGTCTGACTATGTTCTTGTTGTTGACTGGGGCTATTTGAGTTATATACATTATGATTCTATAAATGCAGTCAAGCTGAATGCAAATAGGATGGTGGTTGGGACACTTCGTGGGTTTGACCAGTTCATGAACTTGGTGGTGGACAACACTGTTGAAGTGAACGGTGACGAGAAAACCGAGATTGGGATGGTGGTAAGTAAACTATTTAGTGTTCTATCGTTTTGCTTCGAAGTTCGTCGTTTTACAGTAAAGAAAAAAGAAAACTCATTCTGGGATATTGAGTTCAATTTTGCTTTTGGCAGGTGTTGAGAGGAAATAGCGTCGTCACCGTGGAAGCTCTGGAGCCTGTAAACAGAGGATAATGTAGTCAAGACTCTGTATTGTGTGTTGATATCTATGCTGGAGACTTTTTAACTACCGTGTAATCTGGCAGATATCATTGCTGTTAAGTGTTTTAAAGTTTCCTTTGGGCTCTCATGCAGCTACAGATTGTAAACCAGTCATTCCTATCTTAGAGTGAGCGCAACTCTTTAGATGTCTTTCTGTTTGGCATCTTTAGAAGGTCATGTAGCTATTATGGTGAACTGGCATGAAAGTGAATGAAATCCAGAATCCAGAATTAGTTCTCTTCCATAGAGTTTGTGCATACTTTCCAAAATTTTGCCAGTCACATGTCATCAGCAGCTTGGTGCTACAAATTTGCACTACATCCTATCAACTAGACACAACTTTCCACTATCCAACTGCTTCTCCACTCTGTTTGTGTGATACATCTTCATTATCAACAGCAACGCTCGCCGCTGCTGCTACACATAACCCGAACTTGAACAACTTGTCACACCTTCCCACGAAGCTGTTTGCTAGGAAGCCTGCGAAAGTTCAAAGCAAACAGTTTCAGATAAATTGTTAAGAACAGTTCATCCAAAAATCGACAGCAAAACAGGGTGGAATTAATTGACCAACTCACCCTCTGACTCCACCTCCCAACGCTGTTTTCCAAGTCAACCCGAGGCCAAACTCGTCGTCAGCAAGGTAACGGCTATACCCGAACGGAATTCGGACGCTCTTCACCACTCTACAAAGCTCCGGCACTCGAAAAGAAGACCTCTCGCCAGCCTCCACCGTGTGGACATGACGCTCCCTCCCACTCAAACACGCCACTTCGTCGCAGTTCAAGTACTTGAACTCCTTCACCAAGTAGGCGTACTCGAACGGGGTGAGGGACAGGTCGAGGTCGAGGAACACGCCGTGAACGCACCTTCGTGGGTCCGAAAGGGCGATTCTGTTTTCGTCGTAAGAGATCGAATTGATGACCAAGTTGAGGTGGTTCGGGAAGGTGATGGTGGTGGTGGCATTGTGTTTACAGGAGAGGGTAAAGCCTGGTTTGCCGCAACCGGGAGGGTGGTGGGTTGTGAGATGGAACTGGGTGAGGATCTCTGGGGCGTCGGGGCTGCATTTGAGCGGTGCGCAATTGGGTTGTGAGGAGGAGTGTGAAGTGGGGAAGAACGGGGAGATGATGAAGAAATGGAAGAAGAGGAGAAAGATTGGAGCTTTCATTTGTTGACTCATTTAACCGGACAACAAGCCCACTTCAGCTATCTTAAGCACAACCCAGCCCAGTTCAGTTTTCTTCAGCCCAAGATTGTCCGGAATATGCAAATCAGCTTTGTCGTCCTTCGCCTTGCTCCTGCTGTCTTTCTAGTTCCAAAAGCCAAACACTAAAAGCAGAGAAAGAAAAGCAAAGCTGCAGCGCACTTGCCTCTGGAAATCCACCCAACGGTCATCAAGCTCTTCTCAACGGTCATATCCCAGGAAGCTATATCTAGAGCAACAGTTCCATTAGCAACATTTTGACGGTTTGGCAACGAGAAAGAGGGATTCTTTTGGGTTGTTGATGGATCCAGGTTTGCTTGTTTTCTCTGTAGATTACAGGAGCTATGGCTGGGTAATCTAAGAGTGTTGGGTTCTCCTAGTTTCCTACAATAGCATGAGTTATAGTGATTAGGATCTGGATAGCCGGATGGGTTATAGTGATCGAAATCTGGGTAACCAAGTATTGTGAGGGTTCTAGGGTCCTTTTATGTTCTTCATCTTCTTCTTTACTCTCTTGTTAAAAGCAGATTAATTCTGCAGAATGACGTACTTCATTCCAAATGCTTAATAATATTTTCAGTTTTTTCTTTCATCCTTTGTCCTTCCAATCCAATAGTCTTTAAAGCCCCATCCTTTGATTCATAATAATCGTTTTCTGAATTAGAAAAGTTAGAACGACATACCACGGAGTTCGGTCCTCCTCTAGCCATGAGAGCAAAATGGCTTTCCCTTATATCTTCACTATCAAGGTTGTCAACCCGCGGGTTGACCCGGACCCGGTCGAGCTAGTGGGTCAAGGGTTAATGGGTCAACCGTTTTAGCTCGGTTTGGCCCGGAAATATAGAAAGAGTCATTATATTGTACTTATCCTCATAAATTATATCAAATCTTATCTAACATATGAGTTATAACATATAATATTACACCAAAATAACATATCGTACTTAGATCCAACATATAGTGAAAATTCACACACACTTATATAACATAAATATTCAAATGTTCAACTTAGTATTCCAAAGATTGAGTTAGGCGAAAAGAAAAATTGGAAAATAAGCGCATTTTGCAAACTAAAGAAAAAATTGACACAATTTGACCTCCAACCCGGTACCTTATAGCGGTCAGCCCGGCGGGTGCGTGCGGCCCGTTTTTCTCACCGGGTCAGGGTCAAATTGGGTCGACCCGTGGGTCAACCCGCGGGCACTATCAACCTCAGAGGAGCCCCAAGTCTCAGCCAAGACATCAACATTTTTCATGCTGGAGATAGGACACTGACGTCTGATATGTCCTTGTTTGCCACATTTGTAGCAGAAGGTGTTGAGTTTCTTGCTTGCTTCAGCAACATTAGGCTTATCGAGATTCATCCTTCCCTCATGAGCTAGAGAATACTGTTTGCTTCCAGCTTTGTTGCCTATTTTTTGTTCTATAGCTGAATCTGCATCATTACACAAACCCTGCAAACTTTCCCAAACATCTTTCGCAGACTTACAGTGGGATACCCGATTATAATCTTCAATATTTAGAACACTAAGCAAAATAAACATAGCTTTAGCATTTAACTGTAAGTCTCCTGACTTATTCTCTGCCCATTTGTTATCACCTTTTAATTCTAGCAACCCATTCTCAATGATAAACCAAAGATTAGGATCAACCGACAACAGAAATAATTTCATCATATGCTTCCAATGAGGATACTCTTTACCTACAAACCTGGGTGGTCTGAGAAACGCCAACTCTTTGTCGCATAAGTGAAGAGATTGAGCACTGCTGGTTGAACCGCTTCTTCCCATGATCGATTTCGCCGGAGATCGTTAGACCTTGTTCTACGGTGACCGGCTCTGATACCATCATTGGTTTCAGATGAAAATGGAGGATGGGCTGTTGTCGTTGGTGTTGTTTTTTGTGTTGATATAGGCAGCTAAGGCAAGGGGGAAAGGGATGAGGGAAGAAGAAGGGAATAGATTTTTTTTTCTCGAGTTGGGAAGGAAAGTCTTCTCCTTTCAGTATTAAAAATGGAAAAATTGCTGTCTCTAGGGAGGTTCTTCTGTAAGTCATCAGTCATGGGACACGGGTTGACGAGCAGAGACATAAAATGTTATAAACGTAAGTCTTTATGTTAACATAGTTGTGTTACTAGGTTAGAGTTCGATTTTTAACTTTGGTGGTAAAAGAGATGCAAATGAGTGGAAAGTGAGGAGAGTGGGACAAAGAGGATTTTTTTCCCAAGTAGTGCAGATATCAGGAGAACATCTCAGCAACCCTACCCTGAAGAAAGTGCTACTAAGCTTAACAACACAAGTGGGAGGAATACGAGGGTTGCCTTAGAGTAGAAGAAACTGCCTCCCACTCATTTGCAACTTCTAGTACTTGTCAAATGGGAAGTGTTTACCCAAAAAAAAAAGTCATTTTGGACTAGCATGGCAGCCAACAGACTCTGACAAAAGGAAACCACAGCTTCCCTCTAGAACAAGTTACCAAGCCTAGAATTAGATGGTATTGTATGCAACTTGAGTACATTGTACCAAATATAACGAATCGTGCTCAAACAGTTCAGTTCTCATCAGAATAAATCGATATTTGAATCAGACAAATGCCGAATTTTAAACCGTTGTAAACATAGAAAATAATCACTGAAAATAATATAAGCGGGTTATATCAAATTGTATAAAACGTATTTTCAATATGACTTCATCCCTCCCTCGCCTTTTTATAAGGTTCTGTACCGATTCGGTCAAACTCTGGATTGAATGGGATCCTTAGATAAATATCCAGTCACAAACCAAACAAGTGAAGAGAGAAAGAGTCTTTATGTTTGTTTGGATCTCACAGAAATCTATCAGCAATAGAAAAGGAGGTTTGGTTATATACATCTAGTGGCATACATGGGCATGCATACTTGTTAGCTCTCCAAGAGCGAAAGAAGCAATATTGAACACATCAAACAATCAGAAAAATGAAGCATCATAGAGAAGTCTCGAGAGAAAAGGCGATGCAATCAACACGTAATGCCAGATGTGACAAAGGCACAAGAATAAAAAATAATAGATATAACACAAGAAAACATCTTCTACAATAATTCTTTGGCTAGCCTGATTGGTTTTTCTTTTTTCTTTATAAATGCAACCTCGCCGTTGGGTATGGGTAGCAGATGGTGATTCGAATTCTCTTCGTCGCTCACCAATGAGACGGTTGATATGATAGATCCTGAGCAATCATCATCTGTGTGTGTTCGGGTAGTCACAGTTAGTAAGTAGGCATTGAAGACTTTCAGAGTGGAGTAGAGATGAAAAGGCAAGTTATCAAACTTGAGTTGCCAAAACAATTGAGTGTCTGATCAATAAAACCACATATTCTTAAAAGAACAGAGACTAACCAGAATATCTCTCAGCTACATGTCGAACTGGTGCTACCTTAATGCTCTCTGGCAGTAGACAGTTGCAGAAGGAACCTGAAATCAGAAAAATAGATTTCTAATAAGATAATAGAAAAGCTAGTATATAGCCCATGAATTGTAAGACTGAAACAAGAAGTTGAAAACTTGGAACTGTTTCTAGAAGTAGGCTACGCCACCCCTTCAATATGAGGTTCAATAGGTATGAAATACGAAAGGGATAAGTAAAACTTCCATAACATACTCAAGATCATAGACATGACGTACCTAACCTAGCCATCCGATTTATCCATCCTGGAATTGGCTTTCCCGTGAGTCTCATGCAAGCTTCATTTGTGAAGTGATTGCAATTCTTGGCAATCAAATGATAACAATCACCATGGTAGTCTGCTGAAATGTGTTCCATTAATGTCTGAACTTCTGCCCGTGACAAGCTGGTGTTGCCCAGCAACACTGCTCGTCGAAAGATGAAGCCTGGACAACTTCGTGGTTCCACCTCAAATATCCCACTGCTAGCGTACTCATGTGCTCCAAAACTAAACTCCATTCCATGGACTGGATATTGAATCCAATAAAATTGTCAAAACACATTATGGACATCAAGATCAGTATGAAGTAATTTACTTAAATGCACATGATAAAAATATTTCAGATTCCTGATTATAACTGTCATCTATGCTACCTCACTATCAAAATCAAGAATTCCAGATCTTTCCAAGCAACAAACACACAACCCATACATTCAAACAACCATTATCATCAATTCCAACATTAAATATATCATATCAGACATAAATTCTACTGAAAAGATAGAAACACCGACAAAAAGCCATGTAATTGTCCATATAATAAATGTGCCACATAAGTCATGAGATTGCAATAGTGCATTAACATTTCCAAGTTGTGGTGCTTCATAAATTCTTTTCTAAAACTAGCATCTAACGCAGTAAGTAGCCTATCCATCTTATTCTTGCATTATGGCTCCTCATAGCCTAAGTTGCATAAAGAAGTGTTGAAAAGTCACTCATTGCCTGCCTGTCTACGAATCAAATAAAACTCTAGCCTTTTGACACCTGGCCAGGCCTAAACATTTAGAGGATACATTCAGCACAAGGGAGTCACTTGCTGATCTAAGGATGGACTACACTAATTTGGTTTCTGTTTCAGTAGACACTAAAGTTTCCCAGGAATGTTAGCCCATTACTGAAGTATCCTTCTCTTAAGCAAGTCCATTTCACATTACAATATGACCAGTGAACATGAGAAACAGTTGAATTCATGCCTACGATAAACTCATGAAGACTTAGTGCTAACCAGTGAGATTCACTCCATTCGTTCCGTAAGAAAAAAAAAAGACTCGCTCCATTCTTAGAACGCTTCAAACAAAATGACAGAAGTTACAATAATAAAAGCACCAAACTTTGACCATGGTTCTACACATATAATTATCAAAATGCGGCAGAAATAAAAAAAAACATGGTGGAACAAGCACAACTAGTAATGCTAACCCGAGAACTGAAGAAGGGGTACCTTCAATACCCGAATGGAAGATCCCAAGCCCGAACCAATAGAGGTAGTTATTTACAGTGGTAAGATCATACACATTCAGATATACTGGAAATCGACTCCCCCCATCACTGTTAGAGCTTGAGCTGAAAGGGAAGAAATGCATTGTTTACAATGCCCAGTGGAAAACAATTCTCTTCCAGAATTTTCCTCCGCCTCCACCTCCGTTTACAGTTCTACATAACCATATCTTCTAGCAACAAAAACCCTATAGAGCAAAAAGTCGACGATGGTGAATAACGAGAACCTAATTCAATAGTTTTGAATCAGAAAATGACCAAAACTCATACACGAATCTTACATGCGAATTCAAATGGACGATACAAATAAAATTCAGTATCGCCGGAAGATCCCAAAACAACTGCCGGATCCTGCAGCCGATCAGAGCTTGTTGGCGATGTGGAAAGCCGGGGAAAGCAATGAAAGAATGCAAATTATTCCAGAAAGAGCGACGAAAAAAAGGAGACGACCGGAGAATTCTTCTTCTCGTTAATCTCCTTTACTTCAGAAACCCGGCTCACCAGAGTGAAGGATGATTATAGTTTTTGGGATCGGAGACGGCGAGGACAGAGGAAATTGAAATGAAAGAAATAGCTGGCACTTTTTTGCAAGAGATGTCAGAGACAAACAAAATGACGACGACGAAAGATCCACCCATTGGATTATACACTTTCCAAGTGCTTCAATCAAGAGAAAAGTACCATTAAGTACAAATCGGTCCTCTTATTCCTTCTCCATTATCATTGCAGTCCATTAAAATTTGTTATATGCCCATTCATCCATCCAGTTTTTCATTTTTTGGAAAACCGGATGTTTATAAAGAAATTAATTATTTGATGTTTAGTTGTTTATCCACCAAAATAATTAAGGGATCAGTAAATGGTCGCTAAGTAGTAAATAATAATATTTTAATTTTTGTTAGAAATAAATAAATGGTCTAACGAAATTAAGTCGTCAATCACAAAACTTTAATACATTGTCATAAATATATAATATATGGTGAAATATAAGCCATGAATGTATTCAATATACAATTGGTATAACCTTACGGATCCCAATTAACCTACGAAAAAATTATGTTCAATTATCTATGGAAATTGTTCATTTACTTTATGAAATTGAAATAACCTAGTTCAATTAATCTATAAATTGGACTCAATAAGGTGAATTATTCTACGAATTGGAAGGTTACCTCATTGAACTCTAGATTGTCAAGATGCATGCTTTTTTTATTACAGAACACAAGCTCAATTCATAATTTTTTTTATATCATATAAAAAGAAGATTTCGATATAACGATATCCGACAAAAGAGTGTTTAGGCCGGTGGTCTCTTGTCGAAACTCCTGTCCATCTGGCACCATACGGTGCTTGGCTAAGATGATGGTCGTGAGCCCAATTATTGGCAGGGCCAAATGGCGCGAAGTTTGGAAGGTGCTCCCAAGCCCTCAGTTGGACGATGAATATTACGCCACCCGCTTTCTTTGTATTTGGGTCAGTACGCTTGCACAGCTTCGCGTACAACGTTTCATACAAGCCGATCCCCAACTCTTTCATCCCATGTCGTCCTAATCTCCCAATAGCAGCAGAAGCCACATGCAATGCATATACCTATTGGACTTGTTGGGGAACAACACTCCCCCAATCAGCCCGATAATGTATACGCAAGCATACCGGTCGACTTGTTCCTCTGTGGCATTCTCCCCCAGTGCACCAACGTGGCTCACAAGCCACGGGATTGACAGCATTGACTTATCCAGCGGTGGTTTGTGGCCGGCTTCTGCTACCGTGGGGACTTCGATGCCCAAGTGTTCGAGTATGAAAGGCCCCCAACTAGCTTCTGATTTTTTCAAACTCTCAATTATCGCTTCTCCATTGATTGACAAATCGGTGAGCAAGGCGATGTCCTTCAATGTGATTGTCGCCTCTCCCTCGAGGAGGTGGAAGGTGTGCGTCTCTCTCCTCCACCTTTCGACAAATGTCGTGAGCAAATTGTTGTCAAGCTCCATTCTTCTGAAGAATCATGCCCTCGTCAACCCTGCTTTCTCGATAAAAGGCTCAATTGGTACATCCCATGGAGGCAAGGCGGATGTCCCCCTATAGGTGATAAGTTGATAACATTGAGTTCTTCCTACAAAATAAAAGGTTAATAATTAGTTTTGAAGGGAAGATAAGTAATACTAATTATATTGTACGATATATAAATAATACATGTTAATTATATTAGACGAACTAGTATAAATAATAATTGCTAATTATATTGGACGAACTAGTAATAATACATACTAATTATATTGGACGAACTAGAAAATATAAATGGTAATTATATTACGAAATAGTACTAATAAATTCTAATTTGTATGAAATAGATATAATAATTGCTAATAATATTGTACAAATAGATATAATAACGGATAATTATATTATAAGATATAAATGCTAATTATATTGTATGCAATTGAATTGATAAATACTAATTACTGGGTCTGCCGGCCAAACACTTTGCGATCAATGAAAATGTTGGCCGTCCAACAAATTGGGATTTTCTCGGACCAATATGAATATAAATTCTAGGATCATAAATCTCAAGACCCAACTTGTATGGCAAAAAAAAAAAAAAAAATAGTCGTAATATGCGAATGAAGAGTTTAAATGCAACAATCATAGCAATATAGATTCAAATTGGAAAAGATAAAAAATCATACACAGGTTGGTTAAAAATGTTTGTAGGTAGGGTAACCACTAAAAGAAGTACTTCTGTTACAGGAAGATCAACATAAGTCGCAAACTCTAAGCATTTTCCTTTCCTTTAGTGGTGGAAAGGAGAGGGATAAGAGACAGTGGAGTGGTGTAGTTTGGAATGGGGGTGGTTATTTATAGTTTTGCTGGAGCGAATTGGTTCGTTGGGAAGGAGAGCGAACCAAGCTGATCCCGCTTCTGAAAGGTGATCCAACGATTGTGCGCGAGCCAGCTCAGCGATCCGTGCCCTCCCCATTGGCACCAATCGCTGTGGTTCTCTTGTGGATCGTGTGATGCCCTCCACGTGTGCTCCATCGTGCGTCTTTGGTGCGATCCATGTCAATTGGTTTCGGCCAACCACAGCGAGCCACATGCCTCGCAACTTCAGTAAGCGAACTAATTGTGGTTCGCTTGTTTTCCAGGCGAACTCCCCCTTGGTTCGCTTGCCAATGCAGTGAACAACTTCAAATTTGGACATTTTGAGATTTTTTTTTAAGCGTGGTGTAACACTTTAACCCGGCCGGGTAATACTTTTACTCAAATGCCATTGTTAAGCCGTTAACCAAAATAAGAATCGAAAAGGACTTGGAAAATGGCAGAAACTTTTCTTAAATATCACTAATAAAATACATTGAAATATTCAACGAAAAAAAAATACATTGAAATTCAAATAGCAGTTTCATGAAACTTGCATAAGCGAAAATCATAAATATCATCTTTAATAAATGTGCATCAAGTCTCAATCCTACTAAGTACATGAGAATTGAATTTCACATACTAGGTGTCCTCTTGAGCCGTGAACCTTGTCGTGATCTATCCGCCCTCCCTAAGTGAGTTGTTGGTAATCCTACGATTCCTTAGTGCGGGCGTTGGGGTCAGTCATAATCCTAATTCCATTCTTTACATAAAATTATCCAACATGCATAATGCGTGCAAATGCCAATGCACTAAAACATTTACTTGACTTGAAAATGATTTCTTGAAAAGGTTTTCTTGATAAGGGGGGCCTCAAACTCGACTTAACTAGCTAGCGCAATCGTACGACCACCAAAACGTGATAAACGTGATAAACTTGTTAACTTCCTCACAATGGGAATGGAGCTTGATAAACTTGATAAGATCAACTTTCTCACAATGGGAACCTGATAAGATTGATAACCTGATAAACTTCCTCGCAATGGGAAGGAAGGTGGCCCCATGCGTAGCTAGTTAGATGAGTTTTACAACTTGTTCTCGCATGCTTGTAAACTTGAATAATCGAGTAGGCTTGCTCAAACTGATCCCCACACAGTGGGAAGATATAAGCTAAGCATACTATAAAGTAACTTGCTTTTCCTTGTCTTAAAACATAGCTTTGTGATGCAATTTAATGACGTGCTTGCATAACTTGAAAAATGAACATAATTCGTAGCTTAAACATGAATCTTATAAGTGCGTACTCAATTGTAAATAGCATGTAAGAGCATATCATATAACTCAAGGTAGAATGCATCATCAAATAACATAATAAATCATTCAGAATGGAATACTAACTAGCCCCTTATACCACGCTCCTGAGTAAACATCCTTGTGCCATAGCCTTTTGAACCCAAATCGCACACCCCGACTTTCGTGTCTCCTCATTTGCTAAGTTATGCAGCCAGCCTCTCCTAACGTCATTTGACGCACGTCCTCAGTTGGTCCATCGTGAAATCACAAAGCACCAGCAAAGCTCCCTTATTAATGGATTCACCCTTCAATCACTAATTCTAAGCTACTCAATTCTTTTTCCTACCCTCCAGAACCATCCACGCATCCCTTTAAACAAATTCCATTCTTGCGACCAATTATAAAGCCCACAATATATATAAATACCCTCCACGTAAATTCCCCATGCCCACAATATATTTCACACAAACTGTGTACGTCCAGCATACGCAGTACACATCTACCCGTCCAACTCATCATCGCTTGAAATTATGTGAGAAAAACCGAGCTTACCTCCTTGCTAGACTATCCCGGTGTCAGCTGATCTATCTCCGGGACAAGTTAGCGTTGGCGGCACTCCCTCCACGATGGACCTCATTCTTTATCGTACCGCTATGTGCGCGGCAGCCCACCATGAGCTAACCCCAGGTTCCCAACCATAGCGCTGTACTTGATCCGTGATCGACGAACCAATTCGTCCTGTTCGTAACTCGTCGTGCCCTCGCTGATCCTTGCCCCGGATAGAGGATTTTTGAAGCGAGCACCTTGGCCAACGATTGCTTCTCAAATCGTCGCCTCATCGAACCTGTCGTCGCTGTTGGCTCTCTTCATCGATTACAGACCATCCAAGTTTCCCTATTAGTGCAGCCCACGCCTTCCTCTCTGTTGCTATCGTGAAGAAGATGATGGTATTGCGATGGAAGAGAGAGAGATAAGAGTTTTTGGGTTTGCGGCAGTGCTCTGGTCAAAGGAAGTCAAAATGGATGTCTTCTTCCGGCGGCTTTGTTAGCGGCTTCTTATAGACCTAGCTTAGGGTTTGGTTTAATTTCGCTTAAAAATACTTAGACTAGTTTTGTGCCCGCCCGATGGGCGGTGTGCTTCTTTGTTTTTTGACATTATTTTCAATTGTGTTAGTTTATTTTTACTTCTTTTAATATTTATTCTTGATATCTACTATCCGAGTATTTTATGATGGGAGGTTTGTCACATTTAGTATATGTTTAACCATTATAAACAATAATGTCAAATTATAATACTTACGACCGTACGATCTTTGATTGACAAAAAAAAATTCAATTTCATAAGTTATACATGGTCTTTTTTTAGTTTTATCTTTTCTATCTAATACTAAATGTCTAGACCAAATATTAAAAGCATCAGGCATTTCAACTCGGTGACAACAACTTTACGTTACATATAGATTTTAGGATTTTGCTACGGTGACATGCATGTCACCGTGACATGGACTTTTCGGTCGACCGAATACAACTTGCGGTCGACCGAATGGGCTAATTCATGTATGTTGGGTTCCTGAAGGCGGTCGACCTCTTACAAAATGCGGTCGACCGTTTTAGTGGTCTAACAGAATGACAGGTCGACCCAAATATCGCATAGGCCGACCCTTGTGCACCTAATAGGTCGACCGCATTGTGAAGAGGTCGACCGCCTTCAGACCGTATCCGTATTGGATATGGATTCCAACACCAGAAAGGTTCCACAATTGGACAAGGAAACGAATTGGGTCGACCCATTCACGTCCTAAATCTCTATAAATACGAATATGAGTCCCCTTCAACGCCACCAAGTCTGAATTAGGTTTTTTTCCGACTTAGAGCCTTTGTGAAGAAGATCGTTCGCGGTTGCTGTTGTACGTGTTGGAAGTGGTCGACCAGGTCTAAGGTGAGGTCGACCTAATGTAGCATTCGCCGTCTTCTTTTTTAATGCGTGATTTCCACCGGCTAACTTGATATATTGTTGGGTGCAGAATCCAATTCGGTCGACCGCGACGTCAACCAGGTCGACCTGACGAGACAATTCTTCGTATTTGAATTTAGGCCACAACACTTGTTCTGTACTTGCGAGGTAACCCAATCGGTCGACCTAATGAGTTTCAAGGTCGACCGTATGTGTTTTTTTGGTTATTCAACCTGAATGTCGACTTTGGCTTTGTTTGTATGACTATGTTGTGCTTGAAAAGGTCGACCGCGCCAGATATCTGGTCGACCTGTCCTTTTTTCGGTTTAATTTTGAACTTACTATTTGTTTGTAATTGTTATTTTCCTGCTGGATAGGTCGACCTAGGAATAACCGAGGTCGACCTGACGAGTTGTGGTAGTCACTATTTGTCTTACAGGTCGACATAATACTTTGTCAGGTTGACCACGTCTTTGTTTTTTGGTCAATTATAGAAATTTGTACTTGAATTATGATTTTAATTTTTCTTTAAATTGTTTAGACGATGACGCATGATGAGAAACTGCATCAAGATTTGGGTGAAATCATGAAATTGTTGAAAGCCACACAAGAGAAGCTGGTGGTGTGTCAAACACAAGTCGAGCATTTGTCAGTTCGACTGACAGATATGACTGGGATGATGCATGACGGGTTTGAGAGGCTAGAAGGTGCTATCAAAGATATAAGTGCAGAACGAATGGAGAATGGCGGAAGAAATGGTAAAGGAAAGAAATTTGACTTTGGTAAAGAGGAGGAAGACCATGATGACTCTGAAAATTGCTACCAGAGCATAGACGATTTATTGAAAGAGCACATTTTAAAGGTATCCAAGTATATTCATATGTGATTG